CATGGAGCAGAAACAAAACTGTGCAACCCAGATGACCAGTTACATACGTGGGGTGGTGAATAGTTAGAATAAATTGTTTGTCAGTGATCCATAAGCTGAAATGTATTCAAAGAAATAGCCACTGCCTAATCGCAGTAATAACACATTTGTAATAATCAGTCTGCCCAGGGGATAATTGCCAGACGATAACAGTGCTAAATTCACTGAATAAATTCTGCCCTGTGAACAATTCATCTAACTCTAGTGGTCACTCATTAGTAAACATTTTGAGCAATTATCTCTCAATAACCATGCTCTTCTCTTTGCTCTCTTTAGAGGAACCTTTCTAGTAACCTATTTTTTTTTTCTGTCTCCTGGGGAACGGAAATGAGAAGTGAAGAGAAGGATGCTTTTGAATGTAATTACAGATTGGCACGCAGCACAAATTCCCCCAAATCTAAACATAGGCAGTAGTAAAGTTAGCAACTAAAAAAGGAAAAAAAAGCTTGCTTTGTATGGAAAAACAGTTCACTTACAGTATAACGTAAAAATGGTTCAAAATTAAGCAGTGGTGAAGAATGGAAATTTAAAGTAACAGCACCTTCTTACTCAATGAGCATTTCTGAATGGAAAATTTAAATACTGCGTATTAAGAGAAATTAAGAATAAGTCACATGATAAGTCAGGAAGCATAATCACTTTCATTCTGAAAAAAATCAGTCTTAATCGTTTAACAGCATATGGTTGGGGAGGGACGTCATTTTAAGTATGTTAGCATTTTATTAAAAAAAGTAAATAAAAATCCTCTTAACTGCATAGCTTAAGCCCTCTCCGGTATGTGCACATAGCTTGAACTAACGGGGCCTGATCTTGAAGCAGGCCTCAAACTGCAAATCAATGAGCTTTGGCTGCGCAGCTGCAGCCCGGAGGGACCCTGAGCCTCAGGGCCTGGGCCGTGGCAGCCCTCCATGCTTTCCTTTACCAGGCAGTGGGCAGAATCCTTTGCATGAGCCCTTCTGGAGGCAGAGAGCAGGGCACCTGTGTGGGCAGGTTCAGGTTTCTGTCCTAAAAGCGTGTGCGAGCACCACTGAAGAGAAAAACAGATACGAGCAAACTCTCGTGCTGTGTATACCGATGCTATGCTTTCTTTCCATTCAGTAACTCCCTCCATTAAACTTTTTACCATATATGCACTACTTTATAGGGCTTATATTTTTAACCATTTTTCATGGCGTTTGCCGTGTCCCAGTGCTGCTAGAGGGTTCTCTCGGCGTCCCAGCCCTTTTCCTGGAAGGGACTTCTGCCTAGCAGCAAAGCAGAGAAGTGGCCTCTCCAAGGCTGTTGGAAGGGGAGATGAGGAAAACCAATCAAAGGGGGCCAAAGTAATCCCTCGTCTCCTTTCCCAGCCTCTTTCTGCCACGATAACAATCCAGCCTATTGCTGTTGCCGTTTATATGAGCACTGAAGTGATGAAGGCATTGCCACTGTTGTGCTGTGGGTCTTTCCACAGGAGTCAGGCAGGAGGAGCAGGATGATTAGAAATGAAAAAAAGACCCTTGCAAATCAGTTGTGGCAGATGAGAAGTCAGGACAAAGGGATCAACGGAGTGTAATTATGGAAGTGATATTACCCCGAACATGCAGGAATGTCTCCTCTTATAATTTCAGTTAGATGAACAGCATGTATTTCTAAGAGCTTGAACGAGGTTGTTAACTCAGACCAGAAAGGAAAGACTGCTAAATCCCTAAGCAAAACATGGAGAAAATGAAATACAGCAGAATTTTGTCTCGGAAAACCTGAAGAATGTATTTTATCGTAGCACAGAAATTTTTTGGAAATATAAAGATCCTGTTATAAAGTGAATGTGTAATCATCAGAAGCCCGATCCAGAGATCGCAGTTCAATTCTAGCCCAGGCCAAAACCCAATTTCAAAATGAGCTGGTCTGAGCATAATTAACCTTGCAAAGATTGCAGCATTCATATCGTTTGTGCTGGATGATCACAACACACCAATTGTGAATGTGGAGAGAATTCAGAAAAGCTAATTTTTTTTCCTAATATAAAAGAATGCTTTTTATCCCCAGCCTTGCACCATTCCAGTTTCCTTCTAAAAAGGATCTGAGAAAGGGAATGATTTTTTAAATTGTTTTAAAACCTCTTATTAGTTATGTCAGTTTGAGGACTCAGTATTTTGTGTCATGCAGGAATATTAGTCTCATATAAGCTTCCTGCATCTTGTTTAGAAGCTGAATTGACCATTTGTGTGTGAAAATGTAGCTAACATTAATATCCAGTACAATAACAACCTACAGGGAAGCTGTTATAGCTGCATAAGGATGGGTCATATGCTACCTTGCTCTAACTCACTTTTCTCCAGTGAAAAAAAGCAACACAGATGTGCTCCTGTACTTTTGCTTTCTCATATCTTTAGTAATGAGGAAAAAATCAACTTCCACATATACAGGAGCATATGAAAAAACAATTATCAGAGTTCTTGAGATCTTGTTTCTTTCATGTAATATCTGTCAAAAAGAGTGGTTGCATGGGTACACTTCCGGGCCAGTGCATAAAGTAATATGAATATTTACTGTTGGAGATATGTCACTTCATAACTATTTCCAGTTCCCACTGGAATGGAAATAACAGAATGTGAAATACCATGCATTAGCACTTAACAGCTTTAAGTTATTCTGTAACACAGAGCTGCCCAGCTTTTCTGGTCTTAAGGGCCACACAGCTTCTTCCCCAGTCAGGCCAGGGCTGCACACCCCAGCTGCTCTCTTCAGAGCACATGATGGAGCCAGTTTTCCATGTCCATGTCCAGCACTGCTGATCTGCTCATTCACAGGATCCCTCCTAGCACCAGAACTGCTGTCTGTGTCCAGCCTAGTACCTCATGAACATGGTATAAGTTTGTGAGACAGGGTCAGGGGGTTGAATGTGCAGGCTGTATCAGAGGTCCTCACAGGCCTTAGAAGTAACCAGTCTGATAGAGCACGGTCTCTATAACATCCCTACATAGTATGCAGCCAGCCTCTTGGACCAGGTTTCCTTCGGATTGGAAGAATGTCACTGTACACCTCCTCATGCTCTGAAACCCAGGCCAGTGAGGGATTAATACCTATCAACTACCCTCTGCTCCAACATAGCTGGCAGCTTAGCCAGGGTTTCACTTCCAGAATGGAAAAACTGGTGTTAACCTTCAGTCATTATTGAATGACTCTCATTTAAAAAATACTAGAAAAACAGTAACTCTGCCACTCCCCACAGTACTGGTCAGTTTGCTCTGTCTTTTCTATAATCCGCTTCCTTTTTTAAGGTACAGTCCCATGGGTTCACATAGCTCTCTTAGAAATTAATGGAGCTCGCTTTGGAGACAGGCATCAGCAAAGTCTATGAGAAGCAGTTAACACAAACCATGTGTTTTCCTATCTCAGTGACAGTTAAAGTCTACAATTTCACACTCTCACTTAGAGGGAAAACAAAAACAAAACACTGCGCCCTTTGGCCACACTAATTCAGACATGTCTGTCTCTTTGACCTGGGAATGCCACCAGGGAAAGCTGAATGTCAGTGCCAGGACTTCACAGAGGGGGAAAGCAACAGGTAGCTCAAAGGGCAATACAGCCTGTGTACAGAATTTAGAAACCAGGAGTGGTAAGATAGTCAGGGAAGTCATGTTAAGTGGAGTTCAGAGGCAATGGGAAGCAAGGAGGAGACGACCACAAGAGCAGTTTTTCCTGTATGCTTCCTACCACTTCAGTTTTCTTCACCACTCACCCCCTTTTCAGGGTGCAAAATTCTGCTTCCCTGACAAGCAGAACTATTGCACAGAGAACCAGGTCAACAGCTGTGGGTACTTCAAAAATAATATCAGTGACAAACTGGTAATTATGAATATTGTGTCTGTCAACTAAGGTCAGATATCTGTGCATTTCAAATCTGTGACCCCTGGCCTCCATCCTGAGAAAGAACAAAAGATGCCAGTGGGGACTTTTCGTTTGTCAAGAAAATAGAAAAGGACCTCTTTTAAAAAATAATACCCCTTCCCCACAGCAAATTCATTCTCTCTTAACTTTTTCATGCTCCAGTGATCAAATCATTAAACAGCCCTCATTATTCATTCCAACTTCTGCCAGGGATATGAGCTCTGTATCAGAGAAACACCCCCTCACCATCATAATCATCATCATGACATCTCAGCAAGTTGATACAATTATGCCAGAGAACCATCCTCATAATTATACAGTTCTTTAGCACATTTTTTCAGTGTATTCACCATTACTATAATCACAGCGAGTACAGTGTGTTAAATTAAGAACAGGATTTACAGCTAACATCTCACAGGATGAAGTCTGCCTGCTGAAGTTCTGCAATTCTTTACAATAAAGCTCTGCAACCCTCTGAAAGCTTAGGCTTATGTGTTAGTATTTCTTTGTTTTTGAGACAACTGACATTTACAACTCATTTTAAAATGCACATGAAGAATGGTGTTTTACAGAGGGAGAAAGGACAGACCTCATTCCCACCTCATTTCCAAAGAACTCACTCCCCAACCTTAGCTATTAGGCTCAGATTTGAATGTGTATGATACACATAGTCATGGACTGTCGTCACAAACTCATTTCTGCCTTTCAGTCAATAGTGATCACAAAGGCAACTCTAGGAAGTGAACTCTTAGCAGCTACTGATGCTTATTTGCCATGCATTGCATAAATGCATAAATGAACATAAAGATATGATTGCTATAACAAAAAGCTTATAATACGTTACTGGCAGTGTTAAAATATGGTACTGGAAAGCAACAGACAAACAAGTAGTTTTCTAAAGAATTTTCACAAAAGCATCTGAGAAGGGGATTAGGTGAAGAAAGGTTAGAACAGAAGAATCATAAGAATGTAAAGAGCAAAATAGGAAACCTAGGGAACTCCATGTCTGCAATGACAATAAGGTCTCTTTAACAGAATGCAAACTGACATACTAACTAGCTCTTCCTGTCTATTTTCATTTACCAAATCAGGCACACCCAAGAAAACATTGCACTTTGAGATTTCCAAGGAAGGCAGTGAGTTATCAGTGGTGGAACATGCTGAAGTGTGGCTCTTCCTGAAGGTCTCCAAAGCCAACCGGAGCAGGACAAAAGTCACCATCCGCCTGTTTCAACAGCAGCGGCAGCCAAAAGGCAACTCTGAAGGAGCAGAAGATATGGAGGATGGAGGGCTGAAAGGTGAAAGGAGTGAGACTCTGATTTCAGAAAAGGCAGTGGACACCCGAAAGAGCACTTGGCACATCTTTCCTGTCTCCAGCAGTGTCCAGAGACTCCTGGACCAAGGCAAGAATTCTTTGGATGTGCGGATTGCCTGTGACCTGTGCCAAGAGACTGGGGCAAGCCTGGTGCTACTGGGCAAGAAGAAGAAAAAGGAAGATGACGGGGAGGGGAAAGAAAAGGATGCTGGAGAAGTCCCAGGAGAAGAGGAGAAGGAGCAATCACACCGGCCCTTCCTGATGATGATTGCCCGGCACTCAGAGGACCGTCAGCACAGGCGGCGAAGACGAGGCCTGGAGTGTGATGGCAAAGTCAACATCTGCTGTAAGAAGCAGTTCTTTGTCAGCTTCAAAGACATAGGATGGAGTGACTGGATCATTGCACCTACAGGTTATCATGCCAACTACTGCGAAGGAGAGTGCCCCAGCCATATAGCAGGCACATCTGGTTCGTCATTATCTTTCCACTCCACTGTCATCAACCATTACCGCATGCGGGGCCATAGCCCCTTTGCCAACCTCAAGTCATGTTGTGTGCCCACCAAGCTGCGGCCCATGTCCATGCTCTACTATGACGATGGCCAGAACATCATCAAGAAAGATATACAGAATATGATTGTGGAGGAGTGTGGCTGTTCATAGACACGTATGTGCACAAGACTCTTCTTTTTATATTGAGAAGAGAACGTTTTAAAAGCCCAAGAAGAGGAAAGACCTGACACGGTATAAAAGCCTTTTTGAACAAAACAATCATCTGAAATAAAAACAAGAACAAGCAAATGAAAACAAACAAACAAACAACAAAAAAAAAACAAACAACAAAAAAAAACACAACTACACACAAAAAAAAAGAGGGGACAGTAAAAATAATAAATAGAAAAAGACATATTGAGGATCAGAAAAGACTACAGCTATAAAGAGGAAGAAAGCTTCACGATCCCAGGCTTGAATGAGATACGTTTGAATGACGGTATGGGTTGGGGATTTCCCCTTCCTTTCAGTATGCTCCTTATCTTATTAGATAGTATGTTAAGCATTAGCTATTACTAGGGGAAATATGTTCCCTCCCCTAGCTACCCATCAGTTCAAGCCATGGTAGCAGCTCATCTAACCTGCAGCAGTTTGGACAAAGTCCAAAATGTCATTGAAATTCCTTGAAAAGCCATGTGTATGAACACTACATTCACTGGCACTTTCCCCAAAAATTTACCAACGAACTGAGTAGGTGTGTAGTGTTTGTGTGGATATATATGCGGCTATGTATTTATATACATACCTTTATACATACAGACACTACACACTTACATATACTTACATTGGTAAAGAGACAATATTGTGCAGGTGTATACACCTTCATCTTCTGCACTACATTTACAAAAAAAAAAAAAAAGAAAAAAGAAAAAAGAAAAAAGAAAAGAAAAACGAAGAAAAATGGTTAAAAAGAGTGAATGAAAGAATAAAAGTTACATATTGTAAAGGTGCTTACAACGTTAGAACTATGCAACCTAGTTGGTTTGAAACTGTTTACCTGCAAGAGAAAGAAAAAAAAAAGAAAAAAAAAAGAAAGACTTTTTTTTAAATGGAAGTAACTTGTTTAAAAAAAAATCTTCAGTGAGAGATACTTGAAAGGAATATGTTTGTCCAGATACTGGAGCCAAACATTTCTATATTTTGTAAAAAAAAATTTTTAATCGTTTACTATTTGCACTACAATGGTGTCTGACCTGTCTAATCCTTATTTAACAAACATTTGCAAGGGAGGGTGGTTGGGTGTGGGAGGGGTTGAGAGCTGCACTTATTGTGAGCTATACAAGAACTGCTACAGCACACAAAATAGCTATTTTTATTATTATAATTATTATTATTATTTTGTACCTTAAACTGAATAGACACATACACCAAAGACACTTGTGCGAGCCTCTAAAAAGTCTGTTTGTGGTTGGTACCATTCACCTGTAATAAGTTATGGTTTGAATTAAGGGTCAGTGGGTTGATTACATTCAGGCTAGTATATCTGCTAACCAGTTAAATTCAAATTCTTCCCTAAACAGAAAATTGTAATTTGAAGAAAGCCCTCAAAAGCCCTGGGATGTGTATCCAAGGTGCTTGAATCCAAGGTCCATAACTGTACTTGTTTTGCATATACAACACAAGACTTATCCCTGATGCACAGCAACTGTGCATCATTGGGAAACAACTTTATACAAGGGACATACATATATATATGTATATATATTTCTGTATGTATATATGTATGTATACACAAGGTATAAGCACTTCTGGCTTCACTTTAATGTTCTTAAAACAATGAATGTTTGTGTGCAAAGCACAATATATTTAAAGCTTGTTTGTTACTAACAAGCATGAGCGTTCAAAATGATATTTGTGTGAGAAGAACCTAAAGTGCTGGTGTACACTTAGAAAATATTGATGTAAAATTGCAAGCAGCTTTGGGCCATGCCCACCATCACCCCTGCAAATACAAAGAAAATGGCAGTTGGATTTCTGTTTGAAACGCAATCTTAAACAAAAGGCTGGCCATCTCAACCACCACCCTCTAGCACGACAACTCTTAATGGGTTTGCGCGTTACCTGTAAAACCTAATTTTCAGTGTCAACACCTAACCTGAAGGGTCCAACCCATAGGGCATAGGTAGATAGGTTTAAAAAAAAATTCTATCGCTGTTGTATTTAAAAGAATGTTAAAGTTACAATGTGTGTCTTTGGGTAGGGGGAGATGAGAAGAAGGTATGGGAGAAACCTTTAGGCCCTGTTTACACTGAGTTTGATAACCCTGAGCCTGAATCTTCAGACTCTCACAGGTTTGCAGGACCAAGCCCCTGTTAGCTGCCTTCTGACAGGAAGGGCTTCAAAATGTCTCTCACAGAAAGCAGCGCTAACATGGCTCCCCACCTTGCTGAGAGCACAGTCTGTTTAAAAAAAGAAAAAAAAAAGAAAAAAAAAAAAAAGATAGCACAATTTAACCCAGTCACATTGGCTAGGGATAGCGTGTTAGCACCTTCATGGCGAGAACCATGTTTAAGCAGTGTAATCAGGGCCTTCATTTTTTGTCAGCCAAAACTGTTTGTGTGTGTGTGTGCGTTTGCTCTGTGTCTGTGTGTGTGTAGATGTATGTGTGCATGGGAGCGTGTCTGTATATGTATGTATCGATAGAGATTTAAAAAGAAAAAAAGGAAAAAAAGAAAAAAGAAAGAAAAGAAAAAAAAAGCCCTTTTGTCCGTTGAATAGATATCAACATACATGCTTATAGCTAAGTTTTCTATCTAATTTATTTCACAGTATTTAGATTGCATAGTACAGCTAATGGGTTATACATTTATGTACTTTTTATACAATGCATTTTTACAGACTTGTTTGCAGTTTGCAAAAAAAAAAAAAAGATTAAAAAATTGTAACAATTGGGTGAACACTAAATTTGTCACTAAAGTATTCTGTAAAATATCAAGGCTTTCTGATTTAAATTATTGCAGATTTTATTTTATTTTTTTTTTTAGTATTTTCTTCCTGGGGAAAGGGAGGGATACCAAATGGTAGTGGGGGGGGGGAGAGGGGGGGGGGGGGGGGGAAGATGCACAAATAATCTATCTTTATAATTTAAACAAATCAAGTTCCTGACCCTGCTTCATTTGAAGCAAGTGGCAGAATTGTTGTTGATTTTTCTAGAAGTAGGGCCAGGCTCTGGAACTGCTGTGGCAGGAACATAGCCTGTGACAGCTAAAGACAGTACCTTTTATTTCACTGAACTTTGGACCTGGACTTAAAATTAGATGCATATTGCCCATCTACCCTTACTTATGTCCACAGGCTCATTGATGTCTACAGATCTCCTTATAAGAGTAGTAAAACTATTTACATGACTAAAGGTAAGGCAGGCTGAACCACAGGTTCCTTGTGCTATAGGCAGTGTGAAGGGAGAGAACAGATTTTGAATGAGTGGCACCATATCCAACAATATTTAATTTAATTGATTGTTCAAAAACGGGCTGCTTGTATCATGGTTGGTCTCAGAATGTAGTGGCAAGGGAAGCAGGTGAGATGGCTCATGTTGGCTAAAATTATTCTCATGTGTGATTAATTAAGAGCATTGGAGTCCTGAAATCCCAGCACCTTCCCAAAAGCGACAATGGCAAAACTCCCATTGACTGTAAGTAGGGTAAGTTTAGGCTCCTGGTTTTCCTGGTCAAAGCTGGCAGAGCCTTTAAAAAGAAGTCTGATACTGAGTTTGATACCAACTTTTATGTGGTGCACAGGGGCTGGCCCTGGAAAACGTGAAACTAGCCTGAGAGAATTTCCAAGTGAGGAAAGAAAAGGGGATTTTTACATGTGGTGAGTGGGTTGCATGATAGGTACATCAAAAACACAAGAAGGTTTTTCAAAGCAAGAAGTAACTGTTCCTAAGCCCTGCTTTTTAGCTTTCATTTGTGTGTTTATACTGTTCACAAATTTTAAAGGTTTCTCCCTCCAATCTCTATATTCAGTCATGGGGTTTTGATTTGTGGTCAGAGTTATTTAAAGCAGGGGGAAATGAAAAACTATATGATAAAATAAAGTAAGAAATCGGGATGTTAATCAAGACTGACTGATTCCAGTAAAACACCCCACCCCTGATAATTTGGTTTAATTAAATCTGCATGCACTTAAAATAGCATTAGAAATTGTTACCATATTTAAACAGTTGTTCAAGGACATGCAGTCTCAAAAAATACTTCTCCCTTCAGGTACTACTATACCAAAAAGAAAAAAAAAAAAGAAAAAGCTTTTAACTACTAACACATTCCTTTCTGTATAACCCATTTCCTTTTTATATTGAAAATGTATTTTCAGTATATATTTGATCACAGAAATGTACTTGTTTAGTACGTCCACAATCTTCTTGTTTCAGAGCTGATGACATTCAGTGGTCTTTCCCCCTCTTCAAGTCAGATGTTCACTGTATCCATGGCCTAAGAAACTGCCAGAAGTGCACATTAAGATGTTTCTTTGGGAGGGCTGAATGTATTTGTATTCTTGGGGTTTAGCAAAAGGAAATGCTAACAGATGCTTATAATTATTCTGCACTTATATGTCACAGCAGAATACAGATCTAGGGCCTGAAACTGCAGAACTGAATGAAATGGGAGTTTTGTCATTGACTTGAATAGAAACAGCCTTTTACCACATTGTTGCAAACTAGGACTCTGTTATAAATACCTACTCTTTTGTATTTAGTTGAGATTCAAGTCATCAGGTTCATATAACTGTGACATCACAAGGCCATGTAGAGGCTAGCAGCAATATCTCTGAATTAGAGAAGTTCAGGCATCTGTAATGTCTATGTGCAAAATGAGAACTTTTATGGACTATAGTTACTCATGGTATAGTGCCTTACTCTGTAAGCAATGCTGTTGATTCCAGAGGGTCTCCTTTCCTAGAAAGTTACCAGTCATCATGAATAAAGTGAGCAGAATCTATTTCTGGAGCGTAGGTAGAAGAGAGGTGATGGAAATTAGTAATTACTTTAAGTTAAACCTCATGTCAATGCTGTGCATCAGTATAAGAATCAGATGCTAACTTTCTGACACTGAAGAACTTTACTCCCCATCTGCTCTCACAGCATTACATGTGGAGTAAAAAGGTTTTCAGTTAGAGTAATGAAAACTGTCATTTGTCCTTTCATGAACAATTATAATCAATGTTTTGATAGGCAGAAACAAACAACACTTCTGGGTTATATAGCTATTTATTTTTTGAGATACAGTGAATCTGTGTTAATTCTCAATGAGTTTCTTTATATTTAAATACTTTCAGAAACAATACATTGACGATGGGTTGAAGATATATATATATATGTATGTATATATACATATTATATATATCTACAATATATATACACACACAACTATATATATATGTATATACATATATATATATATATAAATTATGAAAGCCAAGATATTATGAAGCCTATTTTGTTTTTATCATTTTGTGTTTTGTTGTTGATATTATTATTATTATTGTTATTATTATTATTTTGCATACTACATGCAGTGCTTTAACCAATGTCTGTTTGGCTAATGTAATTAAAGTTGTTAATTTATATGAGTACATTTCAACTATGTCAATGGTTTCTTAATATTTATTGTGTAGAAGGACTGGTATTTTTTTTATTTACATTATGTTTAAAGAGGTAACAGTTTGATATGTTCTCATTTGTTTATATTAGAAGTTATTTATTTTCACGGCATTCCGTCTGGTATTTTGATATTTGGAAGGCATGCTACCTATACTTTGTACAGTTAGTGGGCAGTATTCAGCAGCTCCCGGTAGATTTTTAGGCCCTGTGTTAAATAAAAGACATGTTTGGGATTTCTATTTTAGATCTTTCTTATTGGTTTGCCAGGACCACTCAGTGCACTTACTGCCAGACACCCTGCCTGCGTGACCAATTTATTCCTACTGTATTTACCCAGGACAGAGGACCAAAACCACCTCTAGTGTAAGTCTGGTGACTTCAGTGAAGTTACACCAGAGATGTATTTGGCTCACCGAGAAATTGCTTGTACAAATCAGTGCAAAGAAAGGACAGAAAGCAAGCAAGCAAGCATCTTTGCATTTGAAAGAGGATTTCAACATGTTAAAAATGTTTGGGTCAGCTACTATTTTATTTTACTTTGTTCTTTTTGTTATTTTGCTCTTTCTTATACAACAACAGCAACAACACAAGTGAAATAAATAAAGGGAGTTTCACCAAGCATTGTGTAATCGTCCCTTAATATGCATTCCTGGTTGGGAAATACATGGGACCTGGGGAAATACCAGAAAATACCAGAGATGAAACGTGGGTGCCTCTTTGGATCAAGCAGTGCGATGCCTTTCTGTTTGGTGTCACCATCCTAACTCTGCATTCAGACTCACAGTCCTACATGTAATGCAATTTTAGGTTGTTCCCTTCTTAGGAAACAGAGACAGTATCAATGCCACAGCCCGTGTCAGCTCCCCTCTGCCCGCAGGCTGTTAGGTGTTCAGCTACCATAACCACAATTCCCTTGAATAACCCAGAATCAGATGCTTACCCTGACAAAAAGAGAATTTGCATTACCCAGACAAAATTGCAAAATTGTCAGTTCACATGTACTCATTTATAATCAGTTCACAGGCAGCCACAGTGAGAAATCATCTGAGTACTCTCATATTTGAAATTAAAGCATACTTATGAGGGGTTTTCACCAGTCTTTGCATTCTTAGGGTGATAAATGGACTCCTGCTATATTCCAGTGGGCTGAGAATCAGGAAACAAGAATCTTGAGGTTGATCTTTAAATGGATTACTTGCATGGTGCTTAAGCATGGGCCACCACAGCTATTAGCATGCCTGTTAATAATCAGACATTGAAAGCCATTCTGCAAAGTCTGAAGAAGTGAGTTGCTTTCCTCTAACTGAGAACAAGTTTTCAATAAATCAGTGCAATCATGACTACAGAAAGCTTTTGTTTCAGAGAAAATTAAGACATGACTGAATATTTGCTTTCATTCCTTTGTTATGATCACTATTATTATTATTGCCATCAAGGACAAACCCAACTGGCTTTGGAAGTTGCACTAGCAATAAAATAAAATCATGAGGCCTATTTGATTCAAACCACTAGCTTATTAACCTGCTAAAAATGAAGCTTACACTTCAGGTGTAAAATGGGAAGTTATCCTTTCTCTGGCATGACATGAAGTGCAACACTGGATGGTGTAATCCAGATTTTTTCCATTACACAGCTGTTTGATTTTCTTTTTAGTTTAAGAATGCTATTGAGAACTGTTGCTATTGTATGGGCTTGTTGAAAAGCCCCGGCTCAAAGAACAGTGGAGAGCTAAGAGCTGCCTTTTGCATGAGCTGAACAATCTGTTAAAGCCAAAAAAACCTGCCCTAAACAAATTAGACCATGATAATAATATACTGACAAAGGCAGATAACACCAAATGATTTTATGAAACAGATACACAGATAGTGTCTACTCAGTGTGCATTTCCTACCTTAGAGGTAGATTTTCATGTTGCTACTTGGGTTGTTGAGTTGCTGTGCACTGAGTCTCAGTGCATTTTATGATTGTTTTTCCATGCTTGTCACAGGGCTAACAAAGCCTGTGTTTTGGTAGTCTTCCTGAAATACAACCACAGACTGATTTAAAGTACTGCCAGGGCTCTGGTTCAGTATCCTGTCTTACGTTGCTGATAGAAATATGGCACTGTTATCACTATGGTGATCAAATCCACTGGCTTTCAGATACCTGACACCCAGCTGCTATGACCTCTGGGCCTTTCTTGGTTTCAAAAGAGTTATCTAGTCATCTCAAACACTGTCACCATTTGATCACCTTTCTACTGTCTACTCATCAGCTTTGTTGGAATTACACTGACTGGAAAAACAGTGCAGAAAATCTTCAGCTGCTAGAGCATCCCAAATCCTCTCTGTGGGACAGACTTAACTGAATGGCAAGGTTTCCCTTTCCCTTCCCTTTCCCCTAACACTTAAAGTGGAAGGGTTAGAAGGAAGTTGCACATGAGTTGACACTACCTATGCATCGTTTCCTTAGGAGGGCTGTGAGAGGGAATGGGGTTATTTTGGCTTTGAATAGCAATACTGCAGTTTACAGATGCAGTGGCAAATTCATTGTACACATTACAACACCACATCAGGAAGCAGTATAACAATTATTTTACACATCTGAATCATCCAGTCTCTACTGCACGAGAAAGTTTCTCTGACTTTGAGAAGATAGAAATGTATATCACCACAGTTATGGTCTCCACAATTTCATATAACAGCAGACAAAAACAACACAGCAGCTCTATTCAAACAAGAAAAACATTCAGAGGAAAGTTGGCAGGGCAGAGGTCCCTTGAGGGGCTTTTGAGCAGGCTGCTCCTCCACAAGTTTTGTGTACACAAGAATACCTCTTATAGCTGCATTAGGATGCAGTTTATAGTCCTGGTCTTGATCTTAATGAAGTCAGCAGGGTATTGCAGACCTGGACAGCTTAGCTGAAAGTAAAATGAAGTCCTATTGTTTCAGTAAAATCACTGAGTAAAATCACTTTTATAGTGCAAAGAGTAAGATGGAGATGACATGGACACTGTAATGAGCCGTGTATGAGAGCAATCAGAGTTGCATAACTTTGAAAAAAAGATAACCTAAATTGGGCTAGAGGTAGAAAATTTTCTACGTACAGAATGTAGTTGCACTAGATCTTTCTATGTAAGAAACCCATTTTAAGGTTTAAATCTACTTAGCTCTTCTCAGATAAGCTGTGTGTCTCCCACTTCACTGATAGCACCCTTCCTGGGGTCATGCCAGCCTCAGAAGTAGGGCAATGCAGGAAGAAAATGTGGCACCACATTCAGGCATCATACACTCATTCCTTTTACCACTCTGAGAATGCACGGAATGCCACTAACCTATCTGAAGTCCAGGCAGACAGACTGGTAAATAAGTGACAAATCAAACTATGATTTCTTTTTATTTTTTATTTTTTAATTTCTAACACATGACCCAACCTTCAGAAGCAATTCAGGCCTGTCCCAGCACTGGCAAATTACCTTGGTATGAATCAGGTTCAAATTTGTCACGCTTTCAAATGCATACCTTTTTGTGCAAATCCTACTCCTTTCTCACGCTTTCAGTGGACAGCCTGGTCATTTGCACACAGCTGTTGTGGAGAAATTGGCTCTAGGCTTAGACTCCAAGCCTCACTTCTCCATTCACATTTCCATATCCTAAGAAAATATTCTCAAGCACGGGAGTTTTATACCACCCCCACACGTCTGGGCAGGAAGGAGAGGAATCAGATAAGTTAATTATAACAACTCAGAGACATTCCCTATGAAAAGAAACTCCAGGCCCCCAAAAAAAACCCCAGCACCAGACCTGCCCTGCCAACCACTCAGCATGGTACCAAGAAGGTCTGCAGCACCTGGGGAAGAGCAGAGGGACTGCAGGGAGGGGAAATATATTAATGGGGATGGTTTCAGTTACTCCCGTGCAGTCACTGTCACATCTGATCATGATGAAGAGATGAAATTTTTTGCTATCACGAAGGAACTCTTCAGCAAGCAGCTTCTCCACTTGAGAAACAGCAAACTACTATGTAGAACCTGGCTCAAGAATCTATTACTAAAATATTACTTTGAAACTGTAGCTATACCACACCTATGTCTGTTACAGAATCAACATACTTGTCCATCTTCCTATCTACCTACCTCCACTGCAGCAGAGTCTGATTTCAGGAAGAGAAGCTGTAAAACTCTATGAAAACTTCAAGGAGCTAAAAGGGATTTCAAAGCAGCTTGCAGACTATTTCAGGATACTGTATTAGAGACACAGTATTGAAAGAAAGACCTGAAGAGCTAGTGTGGTGGATCAGCAGGATAAAGTCATATTTAAGTGAGAAAAATAAAAAACAATAGAAACGCCAGCAAATTAATTATACAAACACAATACAGAAAATTAGAAAATAATTTGAGTACTCTACAAAATCCATAATAGCTAAGAATGAGTTAAAAGTTAAAATAAGATAAATGCTGGACCTGTCAATGTGTGCTTTGTTGATGGAAAACCTGTTACATTTCCTTGAAGTGGTCAACAAGGAATAACATTGATATAGTCAGCTTGAATTTTCCAAGTAGTACTTACAAAGACCCTCACTAAAATTTCCTAGAGAAATTAACCCATCACGGGATAAAGAAAGCAACATATACAATTAATAGTTATTGTGAGAAGAGATGAAAGAAATGGAGAGGTGTCATCAGTGTCCAGCTCTGCATTCAGGTATGGGCTATGAAGTTAAAACTCTGAAAAACAGGATGAAAAGTCAGATGACAGAGTTTTCTGACATATGAGGTTAATTAAAATAGACGTGGCTGATTGCAAAAAATTGCTGAAGAACTTCACAAAATAACAAAACAGCAGCTGGAATTCAGCATCGATAAAGATAAAACAAGACAGGTAACACATGACATGTAGGAGAAAACAATCCTGACTTGCATGTACAGAAATGAGCTGTCCCTCAGGTAGGAGATTTGAGTGTTATAACACTGTTTTTATAATCAGTAAGAAAAGCAAAGCGAACACTAGGGATTACTAGGCAAGACAGGGTTTGTTGCTTGTTGGTATACCTAGAAAATGTAGACATGTTTTGGGGTATTGAAAGGGAATGACAGACTTGAGGGTGAAACAAAACCTCCCATTATATAGCTGAAGATACCAGCCAGGCCTCCCTTTTGATTTCTCTCCTCCACGCTGAGAAAGTCCAGCTTACTCAGACTCTCCTCATACATGTCCCTTACAGGGACAGACTGAGGGAGGAAGAATACGACATTATTTTTATGTCACTGTGTTGCTGATCAGCTTGTTGTTGACTCCCCATTAGTTCTGTCACTTTTGTCTCAGTATAAATCCATGCTCCTTCTGGTAGAATGATATGGAGGACTGGGACATGAGCAGACACTGATCCCAGGTGTACAGAGGTCACTCAACACCATAATACAAAAATACAGCAATGCTGCAGCAGATTGGACAGCTTGGATATCCTCCTGATGCAGACAGTTATTTTGAATTCTTTTTAATACATTTTTTTAAAGATCCCTTCCTGTTAAAACACAAAACAGTATAATTCTCATGGCTGAGCAGCTACAGCCTGTGATGATTATCTCCAAGTGTTCTTCAAAGGCCAATCACTATTGCCTTCAAGCTCAAGTTCA